AGTCTTTTTCTTCTACCACTTGCGCCAGTAGGTTCCTTTAGATTATTATATAGTTTAAATTATATTATATCATATTATATAATTTAAATTATTATGAAATAAATAAATAAATTCTCTAATGTTATGGACTATTCTTCCTTCAATAACTTTAAAATATCAAGAAAAATCATATCATTTTAACAATTTAAAAATAGAATAATGTAAAATGAGAATAATGACATAGTCAAATTACTTTAAAAAATAATAATTTAGAAATAATTTTTTTTTATCACTTTTGGTATAATTTCACTTATTATTTAAATGATTTGTTTTTTTTATTCATTTAGAACACATAATATTGAATACATCTATTTATTTAATAACATATGAAAATTGTATAAAAAAGTTATTATTATATCATTGCTCTTTAAAATATTAAAAAATGGATCTTATATTATTTAATGTTTAGCTCTTTTATTTTTTTAAAACCCATTATATTATATACATTAATTAATTTATTAATGTGATATGAACCATGTTATTGATTCTAAATTTTCATCCTCTTTATGGTTATTCTTAAAAATATCATGAATGCTAATAAAAATATTACAATATTTTTAATAAATTAACATAAAAAAATTTATTTAAAATATTTACATAATTTTTATAAGATATCTAAATATTTAAAATAACAAGTTTTTTTTTATTTAAACACAAAGATGAGATTGAAATCTCATACCTCTACAAAAATAAAAATATCGTTAACAACACAATTCTCAAATTACAAGGCTTTTTTTTTTTTTTTCTGAATATGAGGAAATTGGGAGAGTGAGAGAATTTTTAAGTCATTGGTGAAAGTGGAAGTTCCATTCAATAAAACCCAAATACTTAAGCTTAAGAACCACTAAATTCGATGAACTGATTCAAATAACAAGGCGTTTTTTTTTTTTAAATGTTGGAGATGAAACTAAAACTTCACACTTCAAACTAGTATGAAAAAACTTTCACACCCTAAAATAGTATGAAAAGACCTTTACAAGGGATTAGTAACTACTAACCCATGAGACCTTTCTCAAATAACAAGGCATTTTAATTGTTACTTTTTGTTGTTCCTCGAGCACTTTCCTTTATCTCCACATCATGTCATTGTTATACTTCGGTTACAAGATTAAATAAAATAATAATTAGTAAAATTATCAAAACATATTAATAAGAAATGATCATCAAAATAGGTGTAAAAAACTTACTTACTTTAAGGCGATTCACGCCTCTACAGAGAGTAAATTAACCGATGCAGCAAATATATATTTAGCATGTCGCCCCAGGATGCTACAATCTTATAATAACATTTTATGAATCTGCACTATCAATATGGTCACCTAACTCAAAAAAAACCCTTCTTTACCCAATAATATTTAGAAGATAAAGTAAGGTAAGAAAAATAGAAGAATGTGGAGGAACACTCTATTGAGCAAATAGACACGTCCTATTTATAGAACTCATGATGTTGTAACTCTCATTTGTAGGTTAATGATAGAAATAAATTGGGTAATTCTTATGAAATAATGTGTCCTTAAATAAGATAATTAATCTACAATGACTAGTTTATTAGGTCTTTAATAGAACAATAAATTTAATTTATAAAATATATTATTTTATTTTTTATTAAAATATTTAAGTTCCAACAATTCTCCCACTATTTTAATAAAAAATAAACCTTTTTTTTTTTTTGGTAAAGATGGATTATTATGCATAATAAAAGTAGTTAAACCTTTAACCTTTACTTAGTGAGTCAACAATTCTTAATCCAAAGTCAGTAGTGAACTAAGTCTCGAACTATAACCCCATCGAAAGATATAAGAATCGTATCACACACATAATGATCCAAATGTTGAGTTTTTCACATAGCTACCGCATTATGGCCTTGCACATGATCTTGGTTGTCATGGGTGATCTAGAAAATTGCCCATCCAATTTTCATAAAAGCGGCTTTACTTCAATACCCACATAGGTGAAATTTGTCAAGAGTGCTCACATAACTAAAACACCCCATTCTATGAGCTACAAATTTCATTAAGAATATATAATTCAACACTCAATTTGTTATAGGATAGATGCATCCTCATCTTAGGAATGATATCAAAAAAAATTTTCATTAAATATTGATGTATCTTTTAGCAATGACTTTTTTATGATTCATTTTTCCCATTCGAAACCCAATTCTTAGAATTCGGGTTGCGTATCCTCATAGAAAGTTCTACATTATTGGGCTTGAATCCAATTCCCCTCAATGAGCACTAGACCTTGGACTATGATCATAGTTGTTCCTCCAACTCTTGTTTTTTCCAAATGCCTACTTGGTGGTAAAGTGGGTAATGAAGAGATTTAACTCATTCTTTTTCTTACTTTTTTTTTTCACATTAACCTACATGTGTCTACTAACTCATAAAATTCAAATTCATATTTTTCAAATTTTTAATTCATGGTACCACAAATTTAACATCAAATCGAGCTAGTGAACCACCATTTTCTTTTCATATATGTGGAGACATGTACTTAAGAATTTTTTAACTCAAACACCATTATACCTTGTTGTACAATAAGAATGTCCATCATATACCCCCATTTCTCAAATGCCTTATTATTTTTTTTCGTCATACACCATTATACCATCATTGTATAATAGGAATGCATATCACATTCACTTTGTTAAGCACCATTATACCTTATTGTATAATAGGAATGCTATACAAAATTCAACTATGCACCATTGGTCACATCACCAATAACAATACATAGGGATATCATAATAATCACCCACATTGGGAACATCTCAAATATGTGATTTTCACATTTCTCAAATAATTGAGTTCATAAAGAAACTTATTTACTCACAAAATTTCATAAGAGTATATTAGCTTATCTCACATTTTATTGCCACAAATGGCTCCCCAATCACATAAGCTTAAAAAGTTTAACTTAAGCTTTTGGAATGTATCAAC